CGGGAGGCGCGGCGGGACCAGGCAGCGGCCCCCGCCCCCCAAAGTCCGTCCCCGCGCGGGGCTGGGAAGCTCAGGGCGGGGAAGCCGCGGGGCCGCGCCACGTCCCTCGCCCGCCCCAGAGCGGGTTTTGCAGGCGCCTCCACGCTGGGGGCTTTTGTGTCTGCGACTCGGGAGCGGCGAGAGCGCAGACCTCCTCCTCAGAGGGCGCTGTGAGTGCGCCGCCAGGGCCCGACCGCCCGCTCCTGCGTCCCCTGTCAGCGGCTCCTCAGGCGGCGGCGGCGGCGAAGGAGGAGCGGGAGGAGGCGGCGGCGCACTCATCCTCGGCACATGCCGGCCCGGGGCGGGGGGCCGCCCCCAGGCCGCGCTCCCCGCCGCCGCCGCTGAACCCGGTCAGCCCCCGCACGCCGCCCGGCTGCCCCGAGGCCTCGTCCTCCTCCCAAACTTTGCAAAGTCGGCCCGCGTCCCCGCCGCCCTCGGCCGCGCCTCGGCTCGGAGGCTCGCCTCGCAGCCGCAGCGGCCCCGCGAGGAGGAGGAGGAGCCGCTGCCGCCGCATCAAAGAGACCGAATTCCCGCGGCCTGGGGGGGAGTCATGCTTTGCGGTCTGTAATGTCAGCAGAACAGGAGAAGGATCCCATTTCGCTGAAGAGAGTTCGAGGTAACCGCGAAGGGCGCCGGATTGAGGGGGTCGGGAGAGTGGGGTGCGCGGGGGCCGCGTGCCGGGCTGGTGGGAGGCCACGGGGCTCTGTCCGGGCCTAACTCCGCGCAGCCCGCGTCCCGCCCGCGCCCCGGGGCCGACGCTGCGGTCGGAGGCGCGCGGCCCCGGCGCCCGCTCGCCCCCTAGACACCCGCGGAGCCCCCGCCTCCCCGACTTGGTGCGAGGAGGCAGTTGAAGCCGCACTCAGCATCCCTTCATCCCCCTCTCCTCCCACCTCCCTCATTCGCGAGACACAGCACAATAGGCACCTCAGAGGGTGAGAAAGAAACACCCCCTGGCAGAGACCACGAACGATGCCCACCTCCCCAAAAAGTAAGTTAGACTGCGCAAGTCTTGAGGTTCTTGAAGAAGGTGTGCGGGCCTTTGCGTCTCCCCCAGCCCCCTTTCCCACCCTCCCAAAGGCAACAAACACAACAGCTTCTTTTCCTTGGGCTTAAGAGGAGAAACTGTAAATTCAAAAGGCATTTTCCCCATTGGCTTTGGGAAAAGAACCGAATCACCCCACATCAGTTTTATATATGATTGGTTTGCTTCTTCCTTGCACACGAGTTAGGAATTTTCCTGCTGCCTTTACTGTCTAAGAAAAATCAGAGGGAACAATGTGCCAGACAAAAGATGATGCGTGTAAGTTGACAGACCCCCAGCGGCTGTCTCGAAATTTGGGGAATGTATCTTCCGGCTCTTATTTCCAGCTCTTAATAGGGTTAAGGATGACAGTCTCAAAATTGATGCAATACTGTTTGTTCATTAAGCAAGTATTTATTGAACATCTACTGTGTGCTAAGCACAGTTCTTGGCACTGGGATAAAACGGTAAACAGGGCAAAATGACAGTCTTCACCCAGGAGGGGTTCACAATCTTGTAGGGTAAACAAATGGTAAATAAAAGGTATCGAATATCAATGGTAAGTGCTATATGTTATAGAAAAACAAAGCAGGCGGGAAAGTGGTTAGGAAATATGGATGGGGGGAGGTGGCAATTTTAAATATGGAAGAGAGCTCACTTGGAATATGATGTTTGAGCAAAGACCCAAAGGAAGTGATAGAGCAGAGCCATATTGCTGTGTGTGGGAAGAGCAGTCTTGGTAAAAGGAACAGCAAGTGCAAAGGCCCTATGTCTGAAATTTGCCTAGTGTACTCAAGCAACAGCAAGGAAGCTGCTGTACCTGGTGCCTGATGAGCATCGGCAGAGTAATATGAGCTGAGCTGAAGGATAGGGTGATGGTGTGTTGGGGGCCTGTGTGCCATTTGAAAGACTTAATAGGCTTTTTCGCTGAGGTAGGGACTGGACATTTTGAGCAGAAGAGTGACTGATCTGACTTAGGTTTTTAACAGGGTTCTCTGGCTGCTGTGTGGAGAATAGACTGTAGAGAACAAGGGTGGAAGCAGGGAGGCTAGGAGGCTATTGCTATAATCGTTTCATTCAAACAGGATAAAGTGCTTTTTAAATCAGTAAGTAGTAAGGTAAATTTCCAATTGACTTAAGCGCTGTAGAGATCAAGTACCACAGTCATTCATCTATGTTTTTGTTCTGTGTGACTAGAGATTAAACATGGAACTGGCTTGTGACACAGTAACAATGTGGTATCCAAAAGGCATCCACTCAAATATTCAGAGGCTGATTTTCTTAACCATTTAAGCAAACACATAATTTAGAGCAGAATATTGTTTTTAAAGGTAATATCAGCACAATCTTTCAATTGGTGAAGGTTTTCTATTTCAACTTTCTTTTCTGTTTGTGGTTATGAGTTGCCAAAGCCTTTAAGGAAAAGACATTTCTGAGATGCAGTTATTCCTCTGATATCTTTGCCATGTTTTACCTATTATTATAAATTTCTTTGGGGTTGAAGGAAAAGAAAGAGAGATATCATGTTTATATCTTAGAACTCAATTTTCAGTCTTAATCAAATGTAATTGTAAATAAAATGGATGTGTATTTTATTGTGGGTCAAGAGCACGGATCTATCTTCATTTTGTTCCGACTGCTGCTTTTAAGTTTGATGCCTTAACTGTTGGGAGTTGGCGCAGGTGTCTGCTCAAGAATATTGTGAGTTAAGTACCAGAATAAAAGACAAAGCACTTTTTAAAAATAAAAAGTCAATATGAGGAGGTGTTTTTATAATAAGTCGTTTTGAAATAATTACAACATTAATTTTTAAAAACATGTTTGGATTATTTTATAATCCATGAAAGGTACCACAGTATCTACATGAGGTCTTCTGATGCCCTGGAACTTTTTGTTATAATCTGTATCATCATATTGCATGCAGGGTGTGGTGTTCACAGAGCATAAACTTTTGAGCAGTGCTTCTCAAACTGTTTCCCATTCACCAATGTATACAGACAGACTTTTTAATGGTTATGTGTTTATTTCATGTGTATTATAAAAATGTAAGTCAACAAACTTCCTACTTAGGATAAGGCTAAGATATACAAATATATATTCAATTTAAAGCGATTATTAAGAAAATAGTATGGGCCGGCCAAGTGGCGCGCTGGTTAAGAGTTGGTTTGGGCGGGGCCGGCCGAGTGGCGCTATGGTGAAGAGCTGGCTTGGGACGCCAGAGGGCCCCGGTTCGGATCCCACATATGAGGGCCAG